TGTGTGTGTGTGTGTGTACACACACACATGTGTGTACACACACACACACACACACACACACACATTTATTTATTTTTTTTTTTCGTAATTTTCAGAAAAGTCCACTTTCATCTCTGGATATGGATGTGTTAAAAATGTTGGCATTCTGAATTCAGCCATAATTTATTAAATACCCAGTGTATTGTTTTCATTGATCAATTTCATTGATAGCTTATTTCTCGAGACAACTTTTATCGCCTCATCAGTTTGTTTGTTGTTTAAGTACTTTCAAGTTAAAGGTTCAAATAACTCGTTAAATTCATGTTGACGGAGTCTGATCTGAAAACTGACCAGCCACTGATCCTTCGCCACTGATCCTTTCCTGTTGAATTGGCACGCTCAGCGTTAATGAGGCTTCCTGCTCTGGCCAAATTTGGCACAAGCCTTGCAGCTGTGTGCCCCTGACACTCACCCCGTCAGTCCCCTGACCCATAACCTCTCTCTCAGCAACACTCCCTACTCCTGAAGCCCAGAGGGCCACTCATAAATCTATCATCATGCCAGCAGTTCCGGGGTTTAGAAAACCTGTGTTGCCCCATTTCTTGAAGGACATTTTAATACGCTTTCCATTTTGTGATTGAAGGTCAGTCACCTTAGAGCACTGGTCAGGAGGCATGTGTAAGACTCACAGATTGTGAATGAGAAGACTTGGGCTTTCATCTCCACAAGTCAAGAACGTTTGGCCCAACTCCTGACGCAACCTGCTACAGTTTGCTAGTGTTAAATTATCAAACCAGCAAAGAATGTAAGGTTTGAGACAATATGTGGCCAACTGCTGCCTCAGTTTTGAATGAGATTGCAAATTCTCTCAACCTGACACACTTTTGGGTGGAATTGGGATTTATCCCTCCCAAATGTCTTGACCACATCTTTTAAAGCACTCGGGGGCTTGAAGTCCACCTGTAAGCACTGGCTACTGCCTCACCAAAAATAATGTTGTTTCAAGAAGCCCCCACATAAAGGAGGTGTGGTGCAACCTGAAAATAGAGGTCTCTGTTGAACTACACACGTGTTCCTCCGTCCAAAATTCATCTCCACACACCTGCGCACAACAAAGCAGATTGACCTTGCGACAAAGCGGCGACAAGTAAAACTCTTTTTCTGAAATATAAGTTAAAATATTTTAATAAATAACATCTATCTAGCCATAAACAGGTGAGTTCGAGGAAGATACACGGAGAGCAAATACAAGCTGGTCACCAACCCTTGACCAAGGAAGTCCCCATTTCTCACAAGCTTGCAGACGGCCTGTACAAACAGACAATGTTTTTATAGTTGTTTTTTTTTCAGTGTTGACAGAGGCACAATGCCTGCCAGAGATTATTTATGGCAGCATTACTCACAATGTGTGTCATGATTATACGCATGCTTGTAGGAAAAGACAAGAATTTGATGACTCATTTTTGTCGTCAAGCCACGGATCGGGACCCGTGAGCGCACATGTGCCTCATTGTGACTTGAATTGTCCCTTCAGCACATCAACAATGACCACATCCATGGTGAAAAGAAGGAGTTTGTGTGTCGGTGGGTGGAGTGTTCACGGGAGCAAAAGCCCTTCAAGGCCCAGTATATGCTGGTGGTCCACATGAGGAGGCACACGGGCGAAAAGCCACACAAATGCACAGTAAGTACAAATTATCCCGAGATTCCTGACAGGACACTGCGAAATCCAAGTGAGCTAACTCTTGGTATTCTGTATTCTCAAAATCCATGAATTTGCTGATAATAAACAACTGAATGTACAAGATAAGTTTTATTAATGAGCGTTTATTAAACCCTTTCACAAAACATGAAAAAAGCTGTTGTTATGGATTGAATAAAGCCTTTAAATCATGGAGGCTTGAAGCACATTATTTATGCATCAAAGGCCTGTTTACCTGATTGCAAGCATTTCCGTGTTCTCTTTGGAAAATATTTTTAGAGATGACTTGAATTGAGAACACGTATTGACGGTGTGGGGGTCATTATGAAGATATGTCCCTAATTCCTCATTGAGAGAATGCTGACGATTTGGAGCACGATTTATTATTTGCATGGTCTCATTAACAACGCAACTTCTTATTTTTAAAGAAAATCTTGTAGTGACTTCTATGTACATAATTCACCACCAACTGCAAATGTGTGAATGCAATGTTCATATGCTTGTCAGAGAGTTCACGATTATTTGGTAACGGGGTAGAAATAATTGCAGTCCCTTTAAGGACCGCCATTTTAGTCTGCTTGTTTCTATGGAAACTTACTTTCGGCGGGCTTCGTTTGGCGCGAGTGTTTTTTTTGTGGTGCAAATAAAAAAACACGACACACTCTCTCTCGGAGTGCGCACGTGAGAAATTGTCGCTTTCTTCGAGTTCTACAATTTCCACAATCTTCAATTTAAAAAAAAGCAAAACATTGAAGAGGCTATTTGAGGGCGGCCTGGTGGTTGATTGGACAGCACGTTGGCCTCACAGTGCAGGGATGCAGTGTTCGATTCCAACTCCGGCCTTCCTGTATGGAGTTTGCGTGTTCTCCTCGTGCCTGCATGGGTTTTCTCCGGGTATTCCGGTTTCCTCCCATGAATAAACTCAACACCATCAATGACAAGTGACTTTGGGGCAGATTCACTTCCCATTCAGTGACGGTATGAATGTGAGTCTACTCTGAATGGTTGGCTGTCTCTTTATGTGCCCTGCAGCTAAGTGGCAGTCAATTCAGGGGGTAGTCTACCTTTGGCCCAAAGTCAAGCTGGGATAGGCTCCAGCACCCTGTGACCCTGAACGGGATAAGCGGTGGAGGGAATGGGTTGGATGGATCCCTTTGGCAGTCGTTCTCAGTCGTGTGACACTGTGGCTTTCTGTCTATTTGCAGTTTGAGGGCTGTGTAAAAGCTTACTCCCGCCTCGAGAACCTCAAGACCCACCTGAGGTCCCACACTGGGGAAAAGCCCTACGTGTGTGAGCATGAAGGCTGCAACAAGGCTTTCTCAAATGCTTCAGATCGGGCCAAGCACCAGAATCGCACACATTCTAATGAGGTATGTCAAGCAGCTTCATGGAGAGTACAGCGTGCACGTGCATGTTACAACCATACTTTGGCAACTCTTGTCAACCTGAACATTTGTCTTATTTGTGTTAGGGTCATGAGTTATGTCAACCAAATGTGTCTATTCTTTTTTAATTATCTGCTTATGTTTCTTGTCTGCGTGATGCCAAAGTGCAATTCCGTTAAACGAAACTGTGTGCGATTTCTCTCCACAGAAACCATATGTATGTAAGATTGCGGGTTGTACCAAGCGCTACACAGACCCCAGCTCTCTCAGAAAGCATGTTAAGACTGTTCACGGCCCGGAGGCTCATGTCACCAAGAAGCAGCGAAGCGACGCTCCTCGAGGACTTCAACCGCCCAAAGACAATGGCGAGAATGAGTTCCATTCGAAGAACAGCACAGGAGGTGTGGATGAGAGGGGCGATGCCAAAGGCACCACAAGAAACGTGGAAGACTGCCTCCAAGTCAAATCAATCAAGACTGAGAATTCCATTGTGAGTCGCGATTGTACTCTTCAAGTTGTCATTGTCATTCTAACTTGATTGAATACTGTACTTGCATGACTTGTGTCTCTCTGCTTGCCCATTTACTAACATGACGCTTTGGTTATAAATTTGGCTGACAGTTATCTGCATCCTCAAGTCAGATTTTTCGTTTTGGCTTGAACATTCTTTTCTCTTTCCCTTAAAACCGCCGTAATGGATAGTCATCACTGAGGTGAGCACTCTTAACGTTTTCTCTGTCTTGTGACTCAACCAAACGGCAGGAGTTAATGCCTCCTCATGTACCACACCATCGATCTTGTTGCATTTTAAACAACGTGGCATATTTACAAAACTGCTACTTTTTAATTTGGACACCTGCATGAAGCAGTTATCACCAAAAAAAAAACATAATGACAACAGTGTTTATATTCAAATGTTTTGGTAGGATCACAACGACAGTCAGTGACTGCACTTGTGCGTTTTGTTTCTTCTGTGAAGGAAGATAATTGGATACCAGAGCTGCCAATAGAACTGTTAGGAAAATCACTTAACGCTACTTTGTTTGGGCCATAACACTGATTTGCATATATATGAATTATAATAGGTGGCCCAGTGGGCGAGTGGTTAGCGTGTTGACCTCATAGTGCAGAGGTCGAAGTTTAGCATTCATGGCTCTAATAGAGTAATCCATCCGAATGGTAACAGTTTGTTTGGGTTTGGCCAGCAGTCAACGTCTGGGCTACCTCTTTCAAACAGTTGGATTCGATTAGTGTAGTATTCTCCAGGATCATTCTAGTTTCGTACTTGTCTCTTATCAACAAACCTCTCTTATGTGGTGCCCCTTAGTCCTCAGAGTGAGACACCACAATCTTGGAAAGCAAGGCCTTTGTAACATGACAAAATGTTGTTTCTCAATTTCTGGTTAAATGCCAGGCACACTTGGAGAATTACTTGAAGCACATTTGTATATTAATTCTTTACACTCGACTGCATTCCTTGAAAAGTGGTTGTACGACTGGTAGTGATGTGCCCGACTGTGCCGAGGCTCCGATGCGTGTGCCGAGTAAACCGGAAGAAAATCTGCGAAGCGCGCTTCGAGGCATGTGTCGATTTCGCTTGTGGCCACGCCCAATGCCTCGGAACGCGCGTTGCTCCGCCCGAAGCTTCGTGAGACGGGATTCCGACATCACCGCCAACAAATAGTTTCGCGGGTGATTCGAAATAAAACGGCGCACCGGGACGACAATGAGCTGACAGGTGACACTGACTCGAGATAAGATCGGGCCGCCCGAGCCCGCGGGTCGAGTCTGGGTTCTCTCTCGCTGACTTTTTTTTTGTTCGTTACGAGGCCGTTAATAGTTTTGGCCACGAGAAGACCGGGGTTCGCCAAAAAAACAGAAGTGGCCTCATCACAACATGTACTGTACGAAACACTCGCAATGACAATTCAAAGAACTCCTTCATGTCTCTATGATCCAGCCGTCATTGTTCTTTGTCTCGCTGCTTATCTTCAAGTGCCGCACTCGATTTTTAAGGACGTACTGCTGCTGTGGTGAATGGCCCAATTTTCAACCCATCAAAATGATGGACAGCCTTAAATTTACCCCGTCCACTCTTAAAAAAAAAATCCGTCAATGATGGAAAATTGTCGGTTAATGTCCCCTCTGCAGAAACAGAAATACATGTTTAAAAGATGTAAATAATTATACAGACTTGTTTAACTTAGATTTCGTGACAAAAGACAGGCTTTAATTTGTTACCACAAACCCCCCCTCCTCTCTACATCAAATCCATGGTATCATTTTAATCACTGTCTGTCATGACATTTATTTTCCACATGATGGCGCAGTAGCACAAATAAAGCCTCATGATGCTTCGGCCCAGGAACGAACCAATTGGATGTAAAGCCTCATTGCTTCATGAGGCTTCATTTTCCCGTCACTAACGACTGGATATTTTTGTCACGTAGCGTGGTGGTGGTGTACCCCAAAAAGCAGGCAGGAGGGAGGAACAGGGTGTACTTGAAAGATTGTATTAAAACACAGAAAACTAAATCCTAAACAAACAAAGTCCTAACAACAAAACAAATCCAAAGTATCAAACAAAAAAATCATGACTGAAGATAAAACATAACATTGACCTAAACATGACTGAAACAAACATGACAGCAGCCAACGAACAGCAACAATGACCCGACACTGAGCGGTCGTGCCGGGAGTCCTTTTATACGACCGGTACTAATCACATAACGACCACCAGGTGTGCAGCTGCAGGGAGAACCCTACAGTGCCACCTGTTGATCACAAACAGAATCATGACAATTTTGAGTGGTATATATTTGCTCACTGGATATTTGTGTTTCATGTGTTGTATTGCATGTTCTATAAAAATAATGTATTTTAGGAACAAATTGAAAAAAGGTAACTGAAACTGATATGTCATGTGATTTATTTTAGATTAATACTTTAGTCGGATACATATTATATATCCTGGGATACAAAATGTTGTACAAGCTAGATTGGTGAGATCCAAGGGCACATACAGTATAGACAAACAGTCATTCACACTCACACTATGGCCGCCAAGTAGTTGCCATATGTGCTACATTATGTACCATCAGTGGACACCGTTGTCTGTGTCTTAATTGTACCACCAAAGTTGGGTTATATTCTGGTTTGTATAATTTATTGACATACATTTCTTCCTTGCTCTCACTCACTAGATGTATCAGTCCAGCCCTGGTGGTCACTCATCATGTAGCAGTCAGCCATCACCTCTCAGCAGCACCAACAACAACGACAGTGGGGTAGAGATGGCCATGCACAGTGGGGGCAGCTTCGGGGACCTGAGTGCGCAGGAAGAGTGTCCTATGGTTGACTCGACTGTTCCTGCTAGTGGGCAACAGGCAGGGTTGGGACTTCAGCTGAGGAAAGCGGTGGGTCATAGTGGCGCAGTTACCATAAAAATGGAGACTATCAAGAAAGAAAGACTGAAGACAGTGAGAGACTCCTGCCCATGGGTGAATACAGCACCACAACCCCCACAGGGCCAACGCAACAACACAAAGCTGCCCCCGATACCTGCAGCTAGTAAGTGCAAACTCTGATGTCTTGATTAACATTCATTCAAGATGTAACGATGAAGTCCGTTAATCATTTCCGTTGCAACTACAGGTTCCCTTTTGGAAAACTCCACCCTAACAAGTAACCTAAACAGTTTACACAACGGTCAGCGATTGGGAGATCAGCCTTTGTGTGAAGTCACTCTGCTGAACCAGCTGAACGATCGGCGTAATAGCACAACTAGCACGATCAGCTCAGCATACACCATGAGTCGGCGCTCCTCCGGCATCTCACCTTGCTACTCCAGCCGACGTTCCAGTGAGGCATCCCAATTTGATGCCAACCGCCATAACAATATCAGCTCGGCGGACTCCTATGACCCAATCTCCACTGATATGTCCCGACGCTCCAGTGAAGCTAGCCAATGCGGAGGTGGTAGTGGTGGTGGAGCAGGGGGAGGAAATCTCCCGAGCCTACTAAGTCTGACTCCAGCTCAGCATTATCGTCTCAAAGCAAAATATGCCGCTGCCATTGGTGGAGCGCCACCTACGCCCCTACCCAATATGGAGAGAATGAGCCTTAGGACCCGCATGGCCCTCTATAGTGACTCTCAGGAATATTCAATGCACCAGTACCACCAGCCACCCTCTGGAACTGTGCCCAGGCGACGCAGTGATATCGGATATGGTAACTACAGCATGATGCCCCATGAGGTACCAAACAGTCTTCCACGACGGGCCAGTGACCCAGTGCGTCGTCCCACCTTTGACCCTCTGGCTCTTTCTGCCGTGCAGCGCTATAACAGTATGAACAGCATGAACAATTCATCGGAATGTCCCCAAGGATTGGCATTGCATGGTTACACTCGTTCTGATGGCAACCTTCAGCGCTACCCATTTACCCCGAGACCACCAAGCATTTCAGAGAATGTAGCTATGGAGAACATGGCTGTAGATGGGATGGGGACTGGGGCTGAACAGGGTACGGAGGATGATATAGTTCTTCCAGATGACATGGTGCAATACCTGAGGTCACAAAACCCTGGCACCCAAGTTCACAACTTGGGACAAGGGAACTACCAATTCAATAACCAGTCTCAGGGCTATCAAACATCTTCATATTATTCCCAGAGAAGGGGTCCCTTGGTTGATGCCTGCATGATGCAGTCTGCTCAGGATTTGGATCATTGTGACTCCCAACAGCCTTTCTCAGCATCATCCCATATGAGTAAGAATAATATGCCAGTTCAGTGGAATGAGGTGAGTTCAGGGACTGTGGATACCGTAACGAACCTCTCGAAACAGCAACATTCTCTTCGAGGGAACCTAGCCGTCGTTCCACAGAGGAACAATTTTGGTTCCTTCCAAGCCCAAGGCCAAGGCCTTGGCAGCAACCAGCAGGTTGTACCTGCGAGTCAGAATATGTTTAAGCAGGGCTATGCAAACCACAACAGCAGAAGGGTGAACAACCCTCATCTTCAGCAGAGACAATGCACCAGTTTGAAATGTAGTGATCAAAGTTCCCTACAAGGGTTTAGTCAAGACACAGTTCAAAATTCTACTTCTGCAAGCAATAATGGGAGACCAACTCGGAACATTGTGATCGATCAAGGACTGCAAAGTTATAGAGGAAGGACACAGGCTGATGAATATTCTCATGTCAACCATGTGGTTTATCAGCAACAGCACCATAATATGTCATCCCAGCACAGCAATGTACATCGTGGTACCAGTGCAATGTTACCACCAAGACCACCAGTAGAGCCCAAGCCAAGTGGCAGACAGCATCCCGGTTCCGGTATGATGCAATTGAACAGAATACCTAAGTTGTCTGATGCGAGCCCCGGTATGCGTAACGATACGTCAGAGGCAAGTCCAAAAAGACCCAATGGATCCGCGAACCTACGACACAACTCGGAGAATTCCAACTCTGCAATGTTCTACACGGGTGAAGTTCATTTTTTTGAACAAACTCCTTCCACCTTTGATGCTACCGTGTCCCCCAATGTCAACCATACCCCTGCCAATAACAACATGGCGGCAAGCAACATGGCTTCACCAGGAGTCGACCAGGTCTCCAGCAGTACAGTGGATTCTTCCACAAGTAGAAATGGTGCTGCAGAACACACCCAAATTGATTTTGACTCCATGTTAGACGATGGGGATCACTCCAGCCTGATGTCAGGCACTCTGAGTCCTGGCCTTTTGCAAAGCCTCTCCCAGAATTCATCTCGTCTCACCACCCCTCGCAATTCTGTTACACTTGCATCCGTACCAGCTGGAATTGGCAACATGGCCATTGGTGACATGAGCTCAATGCTCACAGCACTGGCTGAAGAAAGTAAGTTCCTCAATATGATTAGTTAGGACCAAAGACATTCAGCCTCAATAATTCACACATCAGGAACACATGGACTAGACAAAGCACTGACTGAACAATGAATGGGTGGCCATTTTACGTGTTTTATTGTCACTGTCTACAGTATATCAGTATGATAATGTTGTTATAATGTATTTCTATCAAGTTGGATTTGTCAAGAGTCTAGTAGGCAATGGAAAGGCTTAATTCATCCAAACACACAGACACCAGTGGGCTGCGGGCATCGATGGAGTACTGGCGTCGATGGAGTACTGGTGGACCCGGGCATCCACAGATGTTTGTTTATAAATATATATAAATGTGTGTGTGTGTGTGTGTGTGTGTGTGTGTGTGTGCGTGCGTGCGCGCGCGTTTCTATTCGGGTTGGGACTTTAACAAGGGAAATTCCAATTAATTAATTACAAATAAATTAATGCATTAAAACAAATTACGTACTAATAGCAGTTGGCATTCCAAACAATGCAGAATCTTTGTCAGAATTTCACGGTACACCCATTACACAGACACGTTAGAGCTCATCTCATAGCTAGCAAAATAGAGGAATAGAATGCGATGATTGATTGGAGACAGGCAAAGGAGTTTGCATCCCAATGAAGTAATTCAACCATCCGGTTGCATCGATATAGGTAGGTACGACGTGCCTCTTTAAGCTGCGTGCGCCACCATCAGTGGGGGCAACGTGTCAGCACATTTAATGCGTGTGGAAGTCACAAAAACCAAAATGAAAAGGATGCCTACACGTTGTGCAGAATAATGTTGCACACAATGCCATACGATTTCAACTAAGGAACTGGATATAACCTTTCATAGGTCATTTTTTTTGGTCTATTTTTTTATATTCTGTATAAATAGCACATGCTGTAACATTTGCAAAAAACGAACCTTGTAAAAACTGATGGGAACGTTGCCCCCACCCTCACGGTTACTGCATAAGCACGGTGCAAAACCGGGCTCTTAAAGCGTGCTGGCGCATCAGTTTTGTTTGTGGGTTTTTTTTTCTTTTTTTTTCAGATCTGCGGCCATGTAGACGCAAAGCATGTAGCAATGAGCACAAAACCACCCGAGGTGTTAGCGCTGGCAGTCCTTGTACATATTTGAAGCAAATGATTCGCTTCAGTAACGTCAACATCAGACAAACTCACAAATTCACGCGCAAAAATGAATGACTATAGACCAAGGGGTCACCAACCATTTTCAACTGTCCTAAAATGGCACTTATTTTTTTAGTCTATTCACTTCTGTCCAGGGATCTTTTTGTACTTGTTTTTTTTTGTACTGTTATGTATTGAACTGATTTTTAGGACACGTGTTTTAAGATTGGTTCTTTACAAACCCTGTAATTAGACGTTTTGATCGAGTTCCACCCTACACACGTTACACAAATACATAGACTGTATATAGAGGTGCACTGAAAGCATTTCACATTGTCTTGCTAAGGATATTGAGTATGAGCATGTAATCACAGTTCCGGCTCAAACAGATGGTTGAACTGGGTAAAGAACAATTTTTTTTTGTATACAGTATTACTGTAATGGTACTGCCTTCAAGTTATGTGAAAAGCTTTTGAAATTGTAATGTGTTATGACTTATCCATACATTTATCATGCCACAAAGGTAACCAGTATGCCCGGCAACCAATTGACCTCATGACATGAGAGGTATAGAATCATGGTCAAGCATTTGAAACTAACGTCGGGGACCACTAACTTTGCTTTTTAGATCATGATCTGAACTTTTGAGGATGCCCTTCTGGATCAGAGGCATGAACTCTCCATGGTGTCAAATCCACAAGGGTAAACGAGTGAAATGGACAAGGGTATGCTTTGGTCTATCAAGGAATTTGGACCCCTGTGTGTGATGAAGAAAATTCTCTAAAAGAATATACGAGTACCTCTGTGTGTTCCTAATGGGATCCAACTCTAATTAACACATTCATAACATCACCCCCACCAGCTTTTTTGCTCCAATCCATTCTTCCCCTGGGCTATGGATGAACTGCAGAATGGCAAATTCAGGAAGGGACAGACTTTGATATTCAGAATCCCGTTGTTGGCATACTCGCTCGGCAAAATCCCAAGTTTTGTATTTGTTCCCTTTATTTCTATGTAGCTTTCAAAAGTGTTTGTGTATGTACTACCGCAGTACATACTTTTACAAGTTTGTTTGGCTTTGTGTGACAGTGTATATAGCCTTTGTACATTTCAAATAAACTATGACCTTTTCTCTGTGTAATGGCAAAATCTCGTGTCATGTCTCTCCATCCAGTTTTTAATAAAGCTGATCCTTACAAGGGCCGCAGGTAAACTGGAATCTAGTTTTGGGCGAGAGGCAGGTTCCACCCTTGACTGGTTGCACGGAGGGCACAAGACATCCAACCACTCACACTCACTCCCAAGGACAATTTCGAGTCTTCAATTTATGTTCGACATATAATAATATATATTTTAGAGAGAGAGAGCTATAGATATAAATTATATATATATATATATA